GCGTCCACCAAGGGCACGTCGATCCACAGCGGATCAGGAGGATCTGACGGATTCCATGCCGAGAGCGACCTCCGAGCACCAGCCCAGCGCTACGTACCACCACCTGCTCGAGGTATGCCTTCAGATGAGAGCACCTCCAGACAGATCATCCAGGCACCAGAAATTTTCCGCCCGCGTCAGGCTGAAATTGTGGGGTACGGCCCTAGAATTGAACTTCCGCGATTTGATGGCTCAAATCCCAAGCTATGGCAGACTCGTTGCGAGGATTACTTTAGGTTCTGGAACACACCACAACAGCAGTGGATTTCGTTTGCATCAGCTCAGTTTGAGGGCACTGCAGCCTGCTGGCTCGAAACAGTTCAGCGTCGCGCTCCACAGGTCAATTGGGCTAAGTTCTGCACCCTGCTGCAATCCAAGTTTGGCAGGAATAAACACCAGAACCTCTTAAGGCAGATGTTCAAAATTCATCAATCAGGTTCAGTAGAAGATTATGTGGAACATTTTTCTGAAGTGTATGATCAACTCACAATGTATGAAGCACAACCGAACATGGTGCATTATGTGACAAGGTTTATGGAAGGATTGGCACCCTCAGTTCATCTGCTAGTTGGTATTCGGCAGCCTGATGACTTGGATTCAGCATATGTGTTAGCACTGTTGTCAGAAGAGTTGGGAGACAGTGTGATGCAGCAACAATATAGTTCTTCAGGGAGCAGACGAGTGCAAGTGTCCGCAGTACCAAAACAGTCTGTCAGCAAAACCGCAGATGAGAGAAAAACTTCAGAGCAACCGCGTACAGATGACAGGTGGGCTGGTTTGCGAGCTTACAGTAAATCCAAAGGCTTGTGTTTCATATGTGGAGAACGTTGGGCACGTGAACATCGATGCAAACAGGAAGTGCAATTGCATGTAGTACAAGAAATGCTTGATTATGTGCAAAGTATGCCTGCTGATTTCAGTGATACGGAGGAAATTGTTTCTGAAGAAGTCAATGCTATCTGCATTTCAGCAGCAGCTATGGGAGATGTGACAGCTCCAACTACAACTACTATGAAACTAAAGGTGCAACTGCAAGGCCATCTTTTAGTTTTTCTGGTGGATTCTGGTAGTACTCATTCCTTTGTGGATGGTACAGTAGCTGCTTCCCTTGCAGGGGTTTCCTCAATACCTGTCAACATGGTTAAAGTGGCAAATGGCAGTCTAGTTCCTTGTAATCAGCTGTTGCAGAAAGTACATTGGACCTGCAATGTTCATGAATTTGTGAATGATTTCAGAGTGTTTCCATTGGGTTCTTATGATGGAATGCTTGGTTTGGACTGGTTGGCTAGCCACAGTCCAATGCAGGTTGATTGGGCAGCCCACTGGCTCTCCTTCCAGGTACAAGATACTCTAGTTACACTGCTAGGCCAAGATGCAGTTCCTCAATTGTTTGCTCTGGTTGAAGCTTCTGCTCTCCTGGCAACTGAAACAACAGGGAACACTAAATTACCTGCAGAAATCAAACAACTGTTGGACCAATTTGCACATGTATTTGCAACTCCAACTGGTCTGCCACCAAGAAGAAAGTATGACCATACTATTCCCCTGATTACTGGAGCATAGCCAGTAGCTATTAGACCTTATAGAGTTGCACCAGCACTGAAATATGAAATGGAAAAGCAAGTTCAAGAAATGCTTGCAGCTAGGATTATAAGAAACAGCAACAGTGCCTTTTCTTCTCCTATGATTATGGTGCAGAAGAAGGATAAAACATGGAGACCAGTATTTGACTACAGAAAATTAAATGCTATTACAATCAAGAGTAAATATCCAATTCCTATTATTGATGAACTGTTGGATGAGTTAGCTGGATCTAAATGGTTTACTAAACTGGACCTCAGGTCTGGATATCACCAGATTATACTAGCACTTGGAGTGGAACATAAAACTGCATTTCAAACTCATTTTGGTCACTCTGAGTTCATGGTGCTGTCCTTTGGATTGACTGGTGGCCCTAACACCTTCAACTTTGCTATGTCTGACACCTTGTCTCCCTGCCTCAGAAAATATGCCATCAATTTCTTTGATGATATTCTTATATTCAGTGCTTCCTTTGAATTGCACTTGCAACTCCTGGAAGAAGTGTTGAAACTGTTATTGCAACATCAGTGGCATGTGAAGCTCTCTAAATATTCCTTTGCTCAAACTCAGATTAGATATTTAGGGCACATTATTAGTGCACAAGGGGTATCTACAGATCCAACAAAAATTGTAGCTATTCAGGAATGTCCAGTGCCTGTGTCTGCAAAAGAAGTAAGAGGATCCCTTGGACTTGCTGGGTATTATAGGAAGTTTATATCTCAATATGGAATGTTGAGCCAGCCTCTTACTAATCTGCTCAAGAAAGGGGCCCCTTTTCACTGGTTGGACAATGAACAACAAGCTTTTGATCTGTTAAAGAAGGCCCTGGTTTCAGCCCCTGTCCTAGCACTGCCAATTTCTCCAAGGTTTTCATACTGGAAACAGATGCTTGTGATGTGAGTATAGGAGCTGTCCTTATGCAGGAAGGACACCCAGTTGCTTATGTCAGTAAAGCCCTTGGTCCCAGGAACCAAACATTGTCAGTGTATGAAAAAGAATACCTAGCTATCTTATTAGCAGTGGAACACTGGAGACAATATTTACAGCTTGCTCCTTTTGTTATCAGAACTGACCAACGCAGCTTGGCTTGTCTGTCTGAACAGAGACTGCACACTAAGTGGCAACAGAAAGCACTGACAAAAATGTTGGGATTACAATATACTATTGAGTATAAAAGGGTGTTGACAATAATGCAGCAGATTCCTTGTCCAGGAGACCTCACAATCCTCAAGATGTGTTGCCTGAACTGCAACACATTTCTTCAGTGCAACCTGCTTGGCTTGAGGAATTAGTTAGAGTTATACTAATGACACTTTTGCTTCTGATTTGCTGAAGAAGTTATCAGTGGCTCCTACTTCTGACAGCAAGTTCCCTCTGAAAGCTGGCATTCTTCGACATGGAAAATGTGTCTGGATTGGTAATGATCTTGTGTTGCATAGCAAGGTGGTAGCTGCATTCCATGACAGTCCAGTGGGAGGGCACTCTGGGTTCCCTGTGACTTACAAGCGTGTGAAGCAGTTGTTCAAGTGGAAAGGAATGTGAGGGTTTATCAAAACTTATGTCAAGCAATGTCTGACCTGCCAACAAGCCAAACCAGAGTGTATTCCTTATCCAGGTTTACTCCAGCCTCTGCCAATACCAAACCTTCCTTGGGAAATGGTTACAATGGACTTTGTGGAAGGACTTCCTACCTCTGGTCGCTACAATTGCTTGATGGTTATTATCGACAAGCTCTCCAAATATGGCCATTTTGTCCCTCTGCACCATCCTTATTCTGCTGAAACAGTTGCTGAAGCGTTTCTGAATTCAATATATAAACTCCACGGTATGCCTCTGTCCATTGTCTCTGATCAAGACAAAATCTTTACTAGCAAATTTTGGACTGAGTTATTTTAGAAGTCTGGAGTTATGTTGCGTTTGAGTTCAGCCAGACATCCACAGTCAGATGGGCAAACGGAGCGTGTCAATCAACAAGTTGAGTGTTTTTTGCGCTGTTTGTCAGTGGTCATCCCTCACAATGGGCCTAGTGGATTTCCTTGTGTGAGTTCTGGTACAACACGAATTGGCACTCAGCAACAGGAAGAACACCATTTGAAATCATCTATGGGCATGGTCCACGTCATTTTGGGATTGCAGTTGATGATACTATTCAATCCCTAGACTTGCAGCGGTGGCTTTCAGATCGTTAAGTGGTCCTGGATTCAGTCAAACAACACTTGCTCCGCTCACAGCAATGCATGAAAAGTCAAGCTGACAAGCACCGCATGGATCGTGAATTTGCAGTCGGAGATCGTGTGTTCCTGAAGCTTCAACCTTATCTTCAAGCTTCAGTAGCCCCGCGTGCAAACCATAAACTTGCATTCAAGTTCTATGGCCCTTTCCGTATCCTGGAGCGTGTGGGAGCTGTGGCATACAAGCTCGAGCTGCCAGCAAACAGTAAGGTCCATCCTGTGTTCCACGTGTCCCTGCTCAAGAAAGTGCTGACACCGGACTGTGAAGTATTGCCACAACTACCTGCTCCTGAAGATCAGTTTCGGTGTCCTGAACAGATCATGCAGCAGCGAGTTGTCTGTCGTGGCTCTGACTCGGTCATCCAAGTGTTAGTCAAGTGGAGTGGATTGCCGAGGACATGTCTACTTGGGAAGATAAGGTGACGTTGCAACAAAACTTTCCGAGAGAACCGGCTTGGGGGCAAGCCGCTTCTAAGGGAGGAGGGATTGTCAATGATCAAGATGGGCGCCAAGTTGAGGTTCAAAACAATGCTCGGCCCAAGAGGCAGCCTCGCGTGCCCGCTCGGCTAGCTGGGCCTGAATGGGCCTAGGCTCCCTCTCCTACTTATACCCAGAACGACAGCGAGGATAGGCGGCGGCTGGCGATTGGCTGGTTTGTAATCTGGTAGATGGCATGAGCCAGTAGTTCCTCTTCTTCTACCTCTCGATCCCCATTCCTTGTAACTCGAATTCGGCTATGGTGAATGAAATTCGGGATTGAGACCTTACATAATTATAATTGCAGCCTTTGTCAACAAAGCACTGAGGAAACTCTTTTGCATCTCTTCTGGGACTGTGAGTTTGCTTAAACATGCTGGGATTTCCTTCTCCGTGACAGAAGAAGAGGTCTCCCCTTTTATGACGAGACTGTTCTGGCTCTGGAGTATCCCTATGTAGATTGCTGTGGATATAATCATTCTCACTTGCTGGAATATTTGGATGCAAAAAAAATATGACAAGTTCTAAGCTGACCCCAAGCCTCAAAATTCGCCTACTAAAACGGGAGGGCAGTTTACACGCTCATAAATCAAGTCACAATGGCATACAAACAGGAACATAATATCAGCTACTTGATCTCCATCCATTTCCCACTCCCAAGATCCCACAGAACTACCTGTAGGACGTTGGCTGCTGTGCATACCCGACCTGAGGCGGCATCGGCTGATCGATGCGTGACATCTGCTGCATCGGAGGGACCGTCATTGCAGCCTCGCCCAGTTTGCCGTCCCTCTTGTCCAGCTCCACCTTGTGCTGCGTCTGAAAATTCCATCAGATCGATCGCCGTGTCAGCGTCGGCTCAAGTGTTCAATGTGAAGGAATAAGAAAACTTCAGTTGTTTGAGTGAAGCAAAGCTCGTCTGCCATTACCTGCATACAGGAGCAAACCCTGCACAAACAAATTCATGCAGTTCAGAAAGAAGGTTTCTTCAAATGGCCTGGGGAAGAAGTCAGAGAGTGTCTTACGTCCAGTAGACCGCGTCGGAGACGCAGGAGATCGCCTGCGAAGCCTCGGAGAGTTCCTGGTTGCCGACGATGCAGGCCAGCTGCTGGAGGCAGAACATGAAGCTCTGCACGCACGCAGTGACCAAAACGAGTTAGTAAGTGATCACTTGCAAAGTTGTGAAACGGTAGCAGTGGGAATGAGGTAGTGGTGGTAAGTACGATGATGCAGTTGTCGCACTGGGTCGTCTGGATGTTGCACTCATCCTGCAGCAGGAACCTGGTCGAAGCAACCGAGCTGCCGAAGCAGAGGAACGCCTGGAAATCCGGTTGATCAGGGCTGAAAATTAAGAGGAGGCCAAATGGTAGAAGAACGCATGTGTCACGCACGCACGCACCTCTGTTGCGAGGCATAGCTCTGGGCACTTGCTCTCGCCGCACCTGCCGCTGCATGGCATGTACCCGGCGCAGCACACATATCTGGGACGCAGACAGAGACGCATGGATTAGCGAAACTGAAGAACAGATAACTGCACCGTACTACTACAAATCAAAGAAAATACATACTAGACGAATGAAATTTAAGCTTCACCTTGACATGTCGTTGTAGAGAGCGCGCCTGCGAAGCATGTAAGACACGCATGGGCCGCTGGATAACATCAAAACACAAAGCAGATATGCACTTGTTAGGGTTTATCAACTGGGAGCTTGAACACCTATAATCCAGAGAATCGGAACAGTGCCTACTCACCACCACAGCGACAGACAGCAGTCTGCATCAAAAGGAAGAACAAAAGAAACAAAAAATTGGATCAGGTCCTGACATATCTTGAGAAATCAAAACAGCCCGGGATCGACAGAAAGGCCGAGGTACTTCAAGAGTTGGCATGATAGGAAGGATACGCACATGGGAAATCCGCCTGGATGGCGTTGGTGAGGTCGGTGTGCTAGACGTTCCGGTAGCTCCGCCGGAGCAGCGCCTTGTCCATGTACTCCTGCGACGCTGCCATCTCGCCGCCGCGCGCACTCGGTTGCTCCGGCTCTCGCGGTCCCACGCGATCGTCTTGGCGGCAACGGCGCGGTAGCTCTGGGTAGCTTAGCTAGCAAGGCAGCACTCGCGAATTGGCGATTGTTGGTCGCTTAAGATAGGCGCGCTTTGGTGCCGGTCCCGGTCGGCCGCCGGAAGAAATGGTCGACGGTCAATGCCAGAGTCGTCGTCTGGAAAGTGAGAAGATGGCACACGTTGGAAGTTTCCATTGCATGCGATCAAGCAGTGATCCAAGGCGAAGGATGACCGGATCGTGAAGTCTCTGCAGCAAGAGTCCGCACGATGGGTCCAGCAGGCAGTTCGTGACTTGAGAACGTCCTTGCCGGCCGCGCGGGACACGTCAAGCTCTGTGAGCAGCAGAAGGGCGACGAACTTTTTGTTTCCTCTTTCTTGCTCTACGCAGGAGGATTCGCACCTACCACAAATAATCGGTGGTGCACTCGTGCTTAGAGCATCTCCTGGCGGTCACGCCCCTAGGACCTCATTTAGCGCCGGTTTAGGCTAAATCCAGAGCCGGCGATCCCGATCCGAACCCAAGCGCCCGGGTGTCGCCTCGGGCGCCGGCAGAAGCGAAAAGGGGCGTGGTACCGCTCTGTCGGCGACAGGAGACCCTTTTTCCGCCGTTTCCTTACAAGCCGGCCGCCATGCCGCCGAATAAGTACGTGTTCCCACGCGTCGCGACGGATACCACAGCCGCCGCCTAGCCGAAGCAGAGGAAGCATAGGGCGCCGCCGTCCAAGCCCCCGGGCATGACCAACACCGACTGAAAGGCGGAAGTGCAGACCGGGAGGCCATCACCGCCGATAGGCGCAACAGGGCCAAGAAGGCCCGGGAGAGGGCGGCGCTCGCGGCCGCGGCGACGGCGGAGCAGGCGGAGCGTTCGGCGGCCGAACAAGCCGAGGCGGCTCGCAGGGGATGATGAATCCACCGGGCCATGGCCCGCACGCGGCCTGGAGCCAGCAAAGCGTCAGATCTCCAGCCGGCTTCTCGGCGTCACGACACCCATGGAGCACGCCGTCGCCGGGCTATGCCAACGGCGACCTCCACGGCAGTTTCAACCCCAACATCACCTTCCCCCATGGGCGTCCGGTCCAGCGCACGCCCTCGTCCGCGTTCGCCAGCGTGCAGTACCCTCCATACACGTATTCGCCGCCGAACTACGCAGCCTCCTGATGTCTACTACGCAACCTTCTTCTTGTAGATGTTGTTGGGCCTCCAAGTGCAGAGGTTTGTAGGACAGTAGCAAATTTCTCTCAAGTGGATGACCTAAGGTTTATCAATCCGTGGGAGGCGTAGGATGAAGATGATCTCTCTCAAACAACCCTGCAACCAAATAACAAAGAGTCTCTTGTGTCCCCAACACACCCAATACAATGGTAAATTGTATAGGTGCACTAGTTTGGCGAAGAGATGGTGATACAAGTGCAATATGGATGGTAGATATAGGTTTTTGTAATCTGAAAATATAAAACAGCAAGGTAAATAATGATAAAAGTGAGTATAAACGGTATTGCAATGCTAGGAAACAAGGCCTAAGGTTTATACTTTCACTACTGCAAGTTCTCTCAACAATAATAACATAACTAGATCATATAACAATCCCTCAACATGCAACAAAGAGTCACTCCAAAGTCACTAATAGCGGAGAACAAACGAAGAGATTATTGTAGGGTACGAAACCACTTCAAAGTTATCCTTTCTGATCGATCTATTCAGAAGTCCGTAGTAAAATAATATGAAGCTATTCTTTCCGTTCAATCTATCATAGAGTTCGTACTAGAATAACACATTAAGACACAAATCAACCAAAACCCTAATGTCACTTAAATACTCCAATGTCACCTCAAGTATCCGTGGGCATGATTATACGATATGCATCACACAATCTCGGATTCATCTATTCAACCAACACAAAGTACTTCAAAGAGTGCCCCAAAGTTTCTACCGAAGAGTCAAGACGAAAACGTGTGCCAACCCCTATGCATAGGTTCATTGAACCCGCAAGTTGATCACCAAAACATACATCAAGTAGATCACGTGAATATCCCATTGTCACCACAGATAAGCACCGCATGACATACATCAAGTGTTCTCAAATCCTTAAATACTCAATCCGACAAGACAACTTCAAGGGGAAAACTCAATTCATCACAAGAGAGTAGAGGGGAAGAAACATCATAAGATCCAACTATAATAGCAAAGCTCGCGATACATCAATATCATATCATCTCAAGAACACGAGAGAGAGAGAGATCAAACACATAGCTACTAGTACATACCCTCAGCCCCGAGGGTGAACTACTCCTTCCTCGTCATGGAGAGCACCGGGATAATGAAGATGACCACCGGTGAAGGATCCCCCCTCCGGCAGGGTGCTGGAACGGGCTCCCGAGAGGTTTTAGTGGCTACAGAGACTTACAGCGGCGGAACTCCCGTTCTATTGTGCTCCCCGATGTTTTTAGGGTATATGGACATATATAGGCGAAAGAAGTCGGTCAGGGGAGCCATGAGGGGCCCGCGAGGGTGGGGGCGCGCCCAGGGGGTAGGGCGCGCCTCCCTGCCTCGTGGCTTCCTCGTTGCTTCCTTTACGTATACTCCAAGTCTCCTAGATTGCTTCCGTTCCAAAAATAACTCACCCCAAGGTTTCATTCCGTTTGGACTCTGTTTGATATTCCTTTTCTTCGAAACACTGAAATAGGCAAGAAAACATCAATTTGGGCTGGGCCTCCGGTTAATAGGTTAGTCCCAAAAAATGATATAAAAGTGTAAAGTAAAGCCCATAAACATCCAAAACAGGTAATATAATAGCATGGAACAATCAAAAATTATAGATACGTTGGAGACGTATCAAGCATCCCCAAGCTTAATTCCTGCTCGTCCTCGAGTAGGTAAATGATAAAAACAGAATTTTTGATGTGGAATGCTACCTAGCATATTTCTCAATGTAATTTTCTTTATTGTGGCATGAATGTTCAAATCCAAATGATTCAAAATAAAAGTTCATATTGACATAAGAAATAGTAATACTTCAAGCATACTAACAAAGTAATCATGTCTTCTCAAAATAGCATAGCTAAAAAAAGTTCATCCCTACAAAATCATATAGTTTGTTCATGCTCCATTTTCGTCACACAAGAATGCTCTCATCTGGCACACCCCCGATGACAAGCCAAGCAATTGTTTCATACTTTAGTAATCTCAAAAAAATCAACTTTCACACAATACATGAGCGTGAGCCATGGATATAGCACTATGGGTGGAATAGAATATGATGATGGAGGTTGTGTGGAGAAGACAAAAAAGAAGAAAGTCTCATGTTAACGAGGCTAATCAACGGGCTATTGAGATGCCCATCAATTGATGTCAACATGAGGAGTAGGGATTGCCATGCAACGGATGCACTAGAGCTATAAATGTATGAAATCTCAACAAAAGAAACTAAGTGGGTGTGCATCTAACTTGCTTGCTCACGAAGACCTAGGACATTTTGAGGAAGCCCATCGTTGGAATATACAAGCCAAGTTCTATAATGAAAAATTCCCACTAGTATATGAAAGTGACAACAAATGAGACTCTCTATATGAAGAACATGTACTACTTTGAAGCACAAGTGTGGAAAAAGATAGTA